AAAAAAAAAAGAACAAAAAAAGAGAAATCCCCTCAGACACATAGATCTAGGTCTAAACTAAAAAGAGCCACACGACCGATTTAAAAAAAAACAAACGTGACACACACTAAAACACGTCATGTCTTCTTACACGCATGTCAACAACGCAAGTGTTGACGTGAAAGAAGGCTTCTGGTCGCAGTAGGCTAGACTCAGAGTGTACCGTAATGATCTACAGCCACAGTGCAAGTGCAGTCGAGTCTCTTGGAGTACAGTAGATAAGGTTCGTTGAGACTTCGTTGAATCCGAGTTCCCTCATTCATTTATGTGTTTGTTGAATCAGAGTGATTTTTGCTGAATTAAGAAAAAAACAAAAAAACACCTGGGGAATCTGTCTCCTTTCGCTGAATCAAAGTTTTCATTGAATCCGAGTCCCATTGCATCTCCCCTAACACCTTATTATTATTATTATGGGTCAAGTGTAAAGACTGTGGGCAGCCACAAACAAAGGTTTTATCAAAAGTAAAAACACAGTTTATGCCCACAGTAATACTACATGTAATACAAAGACCGAAATCTCTACTCCGATTTGCCATTTCAGGAGCAGTACTGTAGCTATTAGTGCCCCCGTAAATAAAAATGTGTCGATAACTGTGCTGTCAGTGACGTGGAGACAGAGTTTTGATGCAACAACAAGGTGAGGTTTTTTGGTGCTTCAAACCCTACCAAGTACAGTAATAGTAATAGAAATCTGAAAACTGGAGCACAAGAGCCCTTGACTTTTATGTGATACAATATCTGGTCTAACCAGGAAAAAAACAACCCCAAAAAATAAACCACACACACACACACACAAACACGCGCGCACACACATGTGCAAATTGAAATGAGAATACTATTGAAAATAAACACATTTTATTTCACTGTACAGGAAATAACTGGCACATTGTAATACATCTAGTCTACTGATACCATCAGTATAAGAGATCAACTTTACATAATGAGAATCATTAGGCTACTGATTTGTTCGTTTCAGATAAAAATTTTAATGCACTGCAGGCATAATTTTCAAATGAAAAGAAACTTTCAGTGATTTTAGAGGAGTGAAAAGCAACTAATAATAATATGTACCTGTACACACATAACAGTCGGAGCAAAAGGAAAAGGCAAAATGTAAGAGGCACAAGGCATTTTGGACTACAGCCTAGATGAAAAACTAAATAACATACAATGCAAGTACATGTATGCTTTTGGAGCAATTGATTCACTCACTGTTACATGTAGCCTCCATTGCAACCTTGGGGGTGACTCAAGAATTACGTAGAAATATTTAGATAAGGTTAATGACAATAAAAGAGATACTAACAAAACTACGATCTACAATAACAACACACATATATATA